CATACACAAAGAAGTGTAAATCCGACCGTGCAACCTCCACGCGGTATACCTTGGATAATGCTAATGCCGACGGTATTGTAACTTTTAAACTCCATAACTCGACAAACACTTAATAAAAAAATATGTTATTATAGTATTTTGGAAAGCTCTCGAGATAAGCTATAAGAATACGTAATAATATATGGGGTGTTCCATTTGAAAAAATTGAAGATGACCTTTATATGACCTTCAAATGACTATTCAAAGTCAAACCAATTACACCATTTTATAGATCCCTTCGAACCAAACAACTTTTATCGGAAACAGTTTTCTTTAAAATGGTGTGTTTTCGAGATATTCGACCGTATCCAGACTTTTTTAACACCCTGTATATCAATGATACATTTCAAACATTAAAAATTCAAGCATTGTTTTATTGATATATATAGGTAAGTATCAATGATACCTCTCAAATATTCGCTGACTTGCTATAATAAACAGTCTTTTCGTTTTCTCCGTCGCGTTATAAACCGGACACACTTCACCACACTTCACTAATTTTCGATATTGATAGGTTAGAATATATATTTTCCGTTTTTGTTCCGTTCCGTAACAGTTCCGTGCCATGTAAAACCCACCTATCAAACAAACGGAACGGAATAAAAACGGAATTACTCTGATTGGCTGATCCCCACCATATCTCTTTTCCGTAACTGTTCTGTTCCGCTATTTCTTTCTCCATCTGAACGCACCCTAATAAATATTTAGGTTGTTATGTCAATCTAGGTATATTTATCTAGATATAAAAAAGCGCGGAAATGCACCAGCAAAATTCGAAGAGTAAGCGAGCGAAACAGTTTACAATAAAAAAAAAGGGAAATATACCTTTTTTTTATTGTAAACTGTTTCGCTCGCTTACTTTTCGGATTTTGCTGGTGCATTTCCGCGCTTTTTTCGTTACACGACGTTTCAGGAACGTGCCTATCCGACCCGAATGACCACATCTTTCAACTCTTTGCTCTCGCCCTAACGGAATTCAGCGCGGCTCGCATTGAGCGTCGCCGAAAATGAAATTCCACGGAAGGAACCCGGAATCTCCGCGAAATAATCGGCTCCATTACAAGCTTAATGCGCGACGAAATTATCATGACGGAACTTCCAGTGGCACATGCTCGCGGCGACCCTCTCGATTTTCTAGCGTGCTTTTCGCGCAATCTCGAAAATTCCCCTCCATCTGTTCGCGGGCGCTCCCCGAGTGCCGCCCTTTCCGCTCTTTTACGTTTCTCGTCTTCCGCTTGTTTTACCCCGCGAAATCGACGGCGGCGCCGGTCGAGATCCCCGACGCGTGACGATCGAAATTCTCGGTTTTAATTGCGCCCCGGATATTTCGGGGCGGAAGGCATTAATGGACTGAATCCGAGGTTGAGCTGCACAGAGTGCTGCAACGTGTGCTCACGGACAACAGGGCGGATGTTTAATTGAGCATTCGGTCGCGCCCGCCCGAACGCGAATGTCTCTCATAATCCGGCGTGCCAATTAACGCTATTAGAGACATCGAGCACACTGGTACACACGACACGCTGGTAGTGGTCCGCGATAAATCCGGTAATTGATTGTGGATCGACGCATGTGCGACAGTCCATAATATGAGAGAGAGAGAGAGAGGGGGGGGAGCCTCTCTAAAAAACAGAGATTGATGATTACAGGAAACGGGAAACGAGTAATGGAGGAAGTCATCATTGTCGACAAACGCGAAGTGTTAACGAGAATCACTTTAATTTCCTAGGATCGTTGCGCAAACGAAAAGGCCATGCAATTATCGACGATAATACTTCTTTATAACGTGAAGACGATCTCTTTCTCGCTTGTCATTTGCTATCACTTGCCTGCTCTCGCCACTTGCTGGTCAAAAATAGATATTTACGATTTTTCAACAAAAGAGGCGCACGAGCTTCTCTCGTGCACACCAATCCCATCGAATAACACCGAAAAGCAGTCACCGCGTTGAATCTAATTATTAGTCCGTTAAGTGATTAATCGCCCGGAGGATTGCGGCTCTTGGCGTATTGTCCCGGCGTAAACACACGCGATATTCTATACACGCCGAGTGCCGGTAAATTTTAGTAATTCTTCGCTCGAGCTGCCGCGAATGCGACCGTTTCAATCGATTCTGCCAATGCGCCGCAATTCCGATCGTTGCGGGGCCAACGTAAGTGAAACGCGCGGAACGTTCGCATCAATTATCGCCGCAATTCGGCGCCGCAATATTCGGGAGAAGTCATTTAGGCGTACCACTTGCGAAATTAACTAGATAACATATCTGGAGAGCTCGACGAGCACAAAGAGGAGAGATATACTTTGTTTTAGCGAAAAATAGACTTGATCAATCTGTGATTCGCTATGTTATTTTTTGTTATTCACCAGATGACTTTTTTACACTACCAACTACATCAATAGGAAGTCATTGAGTCATTATATCTGTAATCAATAGTATAAAAGTGATTTGCGAGTTGCAAAAAATTATTTGGCGCACCGCGGATGAACCAAAATCTGCTCTCTCTCTCTCTTTAAGACTTAATAATCTTAATTAAACAACTTTTACAACGATTTATATATAAAAGAAAATTAGTATCCACTTTAAATTAATATATTCAAATTAACAAACATTGTTACATATAAGCAATAATACATAATTCTGTAAGAAGAATTTTTAAATCTCGAATTTCAATAACATTATAATTTTATTTTAATATTATAATAAAGTTTTATTTTAATATTATAATAAAAGGTATACACTATGATTATTTTAATAATATCTTTTTTCGATATTAGAAACATATACTCAACCCGATATTTTATGCTTTCCATTCATGAAAATTATTTGTGAATAATAAAAATATATTTTGTATTTTTATATTATCATATTTTTATATTTTTCTTTGTGTCGATTTACATAAAATGTATTGATCTTATTTTCGTTTAATGCTATATATGTTTATCTCAAGATTTACATGTCAGAAATGAAGATATCTCCGAAGAATGTTCCTATTTTTTTGTCTATGCTGCTTCTAGTCATTATAACAAAATACACGAATTTAAACACTCGTATACAGCAGATAAATCTCTTTTTTATGTATGCTGCTCCTAGGCTGGTATTCATAGTCAGATCTTATATTTAAGATCTTAAGTACTGTCTTAAGACATTACTTAAGACAGTCTTGAAATAAGAGTCGATTATGAATACCGACCCTAGTCATTATAACAAAATGCACGAATTTAAACACTCGTATACAGCAGATAAATATTTTCTCTTATCTCATATCTATGATAAAAATACACTTCATCTTCGTGCGTCTATATTTTTCCGTTTGCGCGATCTCTTATGCGTAACATACAATTACTCATTATGCGATTAGAGTTATCTCAAGGAAAATATTTGCCATCGCGTCGCGAGTCGATAACTGCGAGGGCCCCGGCGCGCCTCCTCGTTTAATCACGAACGCGGAAGTCACGTGCCCGACCTAATTGAAAATTAATTCCCTCCGTGCTGAGCGGCGCGGTCGCGAAAACGTGCAAAACTTATGCCGTCGCGCACGCCGCCGGCCGGAAGACCGGGAGAAATTGTTTCAGCAAAGTAAACGGGGATTCAAATCGCGCGATGCGATCGCGCGAGGAAAGCGCGAACGAGAGAATATGAGCGGCACGCTCTCTCTTCGCGAGATCTCACGAGACGTACGCGACTCGAGTCATCTTAAGACGCGAAAATCAACGTGACGCCATCGCTCACCATTCATCATCGATGTGTACAGATCTCCGCTGAGCGTGGGCCTGGATGTTATTTGTTTAGTTGAATTCGATTTGCATATGTTTTCGCGCGATACGAAAGGGCTCATCCATCTCGCCATTCGCAACTCGCTATCCATAACTCAAGATGTTCCGAACACGTGTGAGCCAAATCCACAGTCTGCGCGAAAGCTACTTTATATACATTACCCGAAAATAAACATGCAATTCGTGTTATATCTCGAAGTGGAAATTTTAGCCCTACTCTCTTTCTCTCTCTCTCTCTCTCTCTCTCTCTCTCTCTCTCTCTCTCTCTATCTCTATCTCAACTTCCTAACATCTATATATTCTGAGGGATCAGCATATGTTTGACGCGCGTGAATTTACATAACTGAAGTCCCACTTGGCGTCTTTATAAATGGCAGAAAACGTACAAAATGCCAGTTGTAGATTCCAAAAAGGACTTCTCGGCAAAGTTAGCGAATTGAATAGAATCAAAAAAGGTTGATATAGGCTTCAAAGTACGTCAAAGTGAGCATTGAGTAGGATATGGAGATTGAAAGTAGGATCAACTTTTCGAGCCGGAATCATTTGTTCTTTAGACAGCTATCAAAAATGGAAAAGCGCTTGACCGCTTATCGTTGTTGAAGTTTTAATGAAATTTTAATCATTTTCATACGTTTATAACGCACAACCGCGCGCGATTCAGTTTTTTGCGATTGCACAAATATCGAGAGGAATTTTCATCTACGTTTATCTACCAACGCTCTATTTCTGTTTTCTTGCTCCGCGCAGCGGGCAAACGTCGTTTACAAACGACGGACTCGCCTCGCACATTTTGTGCCGATGTACAAGTGGCGCGTTATCGTACCTCGTTACGTCACGTAGGAAAACGTTCAAGAGCGGGTGAGAGAACGTTGACACCTGGTATCCGGGAAATTCATCTCGCATCGCGTTTCCGCGACTCGCGCCTTGCGAAGTCAGAAAACCCCCCCGTCGGGACCACCCTGCCACCCACGTAGCCACCCATTCAGTAAGCCAGCTGCCCCCGTCTTGTCCCACCACCAACCCCCTCGACCGAGGAGGACAGAGAACGCACGAGCGAGCGAACGAACCGACGCCCGGGCGTAGAACTCTCCGGGTAATAGTCGAAAGTTTATAGAGTCTAACCGGAGGAAAGTAACTGGTTTATGGGGAAACTTTCGCCACGTCCTCACACGGAGAATTTACGTTCGCAGTGCTTCCGGAGAGGGGACCGGAAATCACGGGCCTGTCCTCGCACTACGCCGTCGGCGAGAACGTGACTGCCAACTGCACTGCCTGGCCGTCCGTGCCTAAGGCCAATCTTCGTTGGACCATCAACGACGAACCGGTAAAGTACCCTTCGCTTCCTCGCTGAGGCAACTTCCCCGAGGCCTCGCCCGCTGTATCGCGTGCTACGGCGTGTACGTGTTTGCCCAGACTCGTGGGAAATGGCTTCGTGTGCACCTCGGGTCGAAAGAGCCGAGTCGAGTCCGATGTGATGAGGTCGCATTACTTTATCTTGACCCGGCGAAGCCGAAAGTGACAACAGCACCGTTCCCGCACGCCCGCGCCACGGTCTCTTTCTCTCACACTTTCAGCTTCGTAAACACGAAACGAGTATATCCGCGCGAAAATGAGGAAAAGAGAAATGAAGAAATAACGAAAGGAGAATGTAGCCGAAGGGAAGCTGACCTCCTTCGCGAAAGCCTAATCTACGAGAGTCTGAGATAGGTATCCGCTAACTTTAGTATCAAAAATTGCTGTTACATGTGAAATTTTTATGTTGAGCAACGTTGAATAGGAATTAGGAATTACAAATTATCTATATGTACGCGGTGAAAAACATTTTGTAATGAAGTCGATGCGTGCAAAAAATTTGTGTTAAATTTGTAACATATTCGTGTGCTAATTTAATATATTGTCATTATTTTGATTATTCCTCGTTGAGTCCAGATTCACTATTTCCAAGTATTAAAATAACACAAAATATCGTGTTATTCCAACGAGATATGTTGTTAAATTAACATAGAAATTGAAGTGAATAAATTGGGATATGTGAAACGTGTTAAATTGAACACAAAAATTTGTGTAGCGTATAAAATAGAACCTCTGTCTGTCTCTCTGTGTGTGTGTGTGTGTGTGTGTGTATGTGTGTGTGTACGTATGTTTCCTATACACTTTTACAACCCATTGTCTGACCCTTTGTCTGATGCAAACTTTGCATAGTTACTATTTAGGATTCTGCGGAAAATATAGGTTGCACGAAACCTGGACACCCCATTCCCTCCTCTCAATTTCATCTTCTTGACACTTTATGATAACCCGTGCAATCTCCGGGCAATCTCAGCTAGTAATCGATAAAGGTATTCATTCTGAATTACATTTTTGGACCACATGCACCGTCGAAACTGTTGAAATTTACATGTTGGGGTGGTTATACGGTATCATATTTGAGCTTCGCGTCACGATTTTCCGTAGGAAAAATCGGTTCCAGTTTCGCCGAGGTATACGTCGGCGACGGGAGAGCAGATATACCCTGTATACGCACTCGATAAAATTGATTTGATAGGTACACGCGTATACACTCCGATCTCGACGGTAAGCTGCTTTCGCGGCGAAATCTGATTTCTGGTAAAGCGATAGTGTCCGCACACGAAGACACCGGCACGACAATGAAAGCGTTGCCGGGGGAAAATCCTGTTTCCTCTCGCTCTGACGACGAGGTCGTGCCCGGGGCCAATCTCGCTCGCGATTAGTATATTCGTCATTTCGCGCGAGGGACTCGAGACTACTCAACTCTCAAGGATTTCGTCTCGCCTCGTCGCTGACGGTGATGAACGATCCGGGAAAAAAACCTACGAGAAATTCTACCAGAACGCGCGCCTTCGGAACTTTCATTATTGCAGACCAGAAAACGGCAATTTTGAATTTCTTTTTCGAAATTTCGGTAGCCTCGGATTTGCTTTTCATTTTTGCTAGCCTAGATTTTTTATTTCAGTTGATCGAAAAAAAATTTTTTTTATTTGGATCAGTACAATATTTTTTTATTTTGGTGAGGTAATTTTTTTTAGTTTTTCTATTTCAGCGAGATCGGATTTCTTTCGTATTGGGGTCAGAAGCGGATATGAGGGAGACCTCTGAGTTTTGTTTGTGATAAAAAAAACGAGTATTGACATAACATACTTTCCCGTATAATATATAACATTGATAAATCACCTTTGCCGAATTTAGACCGAATTGGGAAAGTAAGAATTGGGACTTCACTTCTTCACGAGACAGGTCGGAGAATTTATGTGAAATAAATTTAAATTTATTTTTTTGGACTCTCTCTCTCACACGGGGTGTGTGGGTTCAGCATCACGTTGATGACTACATGTGGTAAGATCCTAATTACTAACAAATTTTTTATCATGCCACAATAATTTTATGTTCTCTCGCGCATTACAGTTAAATTTAATTTTTAATTTAAATTCCCTCCGTGAGCGAGCTGCGAGATAATATGCTAAACCAATATCCCGAGTAGTCGGTGTGGCCTTGCTCATTAAAGTATACAGGGTGGCGCAACGGGCCGAAACGCGCGCAATGTCCTTTGATCAATTTGGGGAGCTGATTTGACTTGAAAAGAAAATGGAATCGACTAGAAATCGTTAAGGTAAAAGCACCAATTCCTGGACGTACTTAATCCTGAACCGTACCCAATTCTCATTGTTTTTGAATACCTAATTCTTATTATCTTTAAATACGAATATTTAAACTTTTAACATAGAATGTATGTATATATACTCAGAAGTACATAGAATGTATGTATGTATACTCAATCCCTGCATATATATTTTATTTGAAAGTTTAAATGTTTTTATTTAAAGATCAAAACAGTAAGAATGTCCAAAATTAGGTAGATGTTCGGGCATTGGTAGTTTTACCTCATATTCCTTCGCAATTGTCAAGATTAAAGATTTTATGACGAGCACGCTCGCCGAAAATCCTTCGCTGCTGAAGTTAGCTTGGAATGAGAAACGAAGAATAATTTTGTTACTCACATTTGCATTCCCGAGGCTGAGCTTAGTTATTTCTCCGTCGCGAATACCCAACGCAATTTCGAAGTTGAAATTTTTTTCACTTTATCGCGATCCGCATGTGTCGCGGGGGAATAGTACACGCAATTTCTCGCTTCATTATGCTCGCAACTGCAAAATATTAATGCTGAAAGGGGAACACGTTACGGGGACAACGCGAAGCGTAGCAATATTCGCCGAACAATCGGCGGAAGAAAAACAGAACGGACGGTTTACTGAGGCAGGCTTGGCATAAAAGATTGTCGTGCAATGTGCAAAATGTGTTTCTCAGAAAAGCGTAATTTCGCATCAAATTGATCGCTATAGTCGTCGTCGTCGTCGTCATCGTCGTCGTCGTCGTCGTCGTCGTTGTCGCCGACATCGTCGTCAGAGCCAAAGCAAATCTCCGTTGAACCGTCAACAAAGCGGCGGACAAAGTACATTTCCCTCCTTTCGCCTGGAGCACTCGGCACTTTGATTGTCGCGGGCGTTGCTGTAAATTAGAACGGACTGCGCCTCGAGAAAAACGACACAAATTGCTCACAGCATCGGCCACGTTTTGTATGCGGGTCGATTAAGCCTCGCCGGGACCAACATCGGGATTGCGACACGTCGGACAATTGCAACAGCCGGTTTTCAATTATTCTCTAATCGTGAAAAAACTACATTCCTTCATTTAATATCGCTAGGCATTTCTGCTGTCTCTCTCTCTTTCTCTCTCTCTTTCTCTCTCTCTTTCTCTCTCTCTTTCTCTCTCTTTCTCCCTGTCTGTCTGTCTGTCACGAAAAGCGTTGTGCTAAACTTCACCCACCAGCTCGGTTAATCGCGCAGAAGACTTTGCGAAAAATGGAGACAGAAATTGCACGACGTGGTGATGTCGAGCGTCACTTGAAGTTACGAAGAGAGCAAAATAGGAACATGTTCTATTCTCTACAAAATCGTGCGCACGTTAAACAAATGTTGTAACGCGAGTGAACAGCAAATGACCGTAGTCATGCAAGAATGAAGTACAACAACATGAAGTACGTTTCGAAAAAACATGAAAATGAAAGTTTGATACATGATTTAGAAAGTATAAAGATAGCATTGAGGTTCTTCGCAATGGTCAATTTTGTTTTCTTTAGGAATATTCATTGACAAGCTTAACTCTTTAAAAAAAATGGTAAAAAAGACGCAATTAGGAGAGAGAAAGAGAGAGAGAGAAGGAGGAAGAGAGAAGGAGAAAAAAAGGGAGAGGGGGAGAGAAGGAGAGAGAGTAGAAAACTGTTTTTAAGCGTCCATGAGACTTGAATGTTTTTTGTTTTACACATAAAGACATATGGACTACTTATTAGTAAAAAAAAATTCAAAAATCATAATTTTGTGAGTTGAGCCATTTTTGCATAACTATGGCTAATTAATAACGATAGGTAAGAGTTCCACCCGCTGATAAACGCACGCGTTACTTGCGTATTTTAGTGAGTACTTATTGCTTTACCGCGGTGTTAGATACTCTGCGTCAATTTAATTACCGGTAACGTGCATATGAATGTGTGTGCAAACAGTATATATGTTTACGTGAGTTTACTACAGAGGCGGTTTATTCTTCCAATAGTAAAGGAAGCTTTCTCGCGGAAAGTTTTCATTGCGCTTTTTATCTGTGCCTCCTCTTTCTCCCGTACAATTGATGTAAATTTTCTTCAACTCGCCTCGTGCGAGCGAATGAACGAAATGTACAAAGTTGACGACACGGTTCCGATAAGTTTCTCCTTTTTTACACTGCACTCTACTCTCAGTTGGCGATTTTATTTCACAATCGTGCTACCGCGGCATAGCATCGCGAATATTTCAAATTTACGATTTCAAGGAAATGAGACAAGCGTTGATGCGGTTTCACAGACAGAACAAGAAAGTAATGTGCGGAATGTGGGGATATTTTTTTATATTTCATCGATCGATCGTGAATTACAACGAGCGCGTTACTACAACAAGCGTCCCGTCGATCCGTGCCTGTTATATTTTATTTCGCGATTGCGCGCCACTTGACATAACTTGGGAGAGGAAAAAATGATCGGAATTTACGATTGGCGCGAGATGGGGAAGACGGTATCGTTCGTACGGCGGAAAAAGCGGCGACAAGATTTTTTTCCATCGCGCAGAGCGATGGATCGGCCGTAAGTTACCGGCATTGTTCGGCAAAGCCGGCCGACACAATGGCTGGTTGCGTGCCTTTTTATTAACATACGAAGCGAAACTGCAATCCCGGTCGATATAGTGACATATGGCCGCGCTGAAAACCGCCCAGACGCCACTCTTTTTGCTCGTAATGGCTCGTATCCGACGCCGCTCGTGCTTCTTTTTTCCCCTCCCTCCCTCCTGCTCTTTTTTCTTTCCCTTTCTTTTTTTTTTAATGCGGTATGATATACGGGGCGGCTGGCATCGGCGAGATGGGAATTTAATGCGAGCCCATATTTGAATGATACGACGCTTTTTCAGCGACTAGCGAGAGATGGTAATAGTCTTTCTTTATTATTACGCTCCTACGCGGACAAGTTTTGGCCATTTTTCAAAAGAATCGCTCTCCAAAGCCGTGCCAAAGTTTCCGACAATTTCAAATAATTTCCTCGGTTCGATTCGGAACGACTCGTCGAATGATATATTATACTTTCAGCTGACGATGTCTAAAATTATGAAAATTATTGCCGTGCAATGCTCCTCTAATTTCTGTTCTCACATGTTTATGTATATGTACATGAATATTCGAAAGCTATCGTGTTATATTGTAACATATTGTTGCAACATGTAAGAATTATTTAAAGCTTAGCTTTAACGCTAATTATAAATTATAGCTTAACGCTGATAATAAAAATTTAAGCTTAGCTCAAGCTTGGGTTAATGAACATTTAAATAGTTCGTCCATTACCTCATGTAAAAAAATTATATCATTTATAATATCTATTTGAATAATAAGGTGTTTGCGATGTTACGAATACTCAATAACGAACGAGATATTGATAGAGGTACACGCGTGATTACATATTGGGCATGAAAATATACGCGATAGGTACGCGATGTTATCGTGATTTTCGCATTTTTGTGTAAAAATGTTCGACTTCAATTAAATCGCAGAGATTGCCTTTGTATAAAATATGTTAAATGTATAAAATAATGTACTTTTATATTAAATTATGCGAATGAGAGAGCAGAAATTGTAAACAACAAACATGTAATTGCTAATCTACCTTTATCGTCAGAGATCAATGCAATTTATGTCTACTCATGCATTACGTAATAAGCGCTTTGTGAGCGTCTGGTTGGGCACTCACCATTTCGTATTGATATCCCGCGACGTCCGAGTATGAATGCATCTCAAACTGTATTACTTCTCAGTCGTCCAATGTCCTGCTTCCTCAGCACCCAGCCTCCTCCGCAATATTCACTCGTCGTCCCGGAGTCGATTCCTCTTTATTCACTTCAATGCACTGCATTCGCGGCGTGATAATTTTAACGGTATTTCCCGACGTAATAAAAAATGTAAAAATAAAGGTATGTCGAGAAAACGTACTCACGGTTCGCGTGCATAACGTTGTGAAGATCGCGTCGCTTTCGACAAAATCGTGGGAGGAAGAAAGTCTACTTAGTAATTACGTTTGTCGAAAAATGTTTTTCTCGTTTTGCGAGAGTTATATATAATTTTTAAAATAAATAGTGTAAATATACATATCCCGGATTTGCTAATAATTTTGCCGAACTTTGCGGAGACTGTTCCGCAACGTACCTGCAAAAATCCACTTCCGAAATACGGATTTACTTGAAAAAAATCCGTGTATTTTTCTAAAGACATAATTGCGAATGCTAAAGTATAAAAAATTGGAAATTAAAAATCGCGTCTGTCGGGAAATCTATCAACGCGTACATGAACGAAATATGATCTCGACGAAATTTCTGTCTCTTTAACGAACGGGATATCAATGTAAATGCGGGTATAAGAGATTTAAAAAATTAATAATCGCGACAATTGCAAATTTCGTCAACGCGAGCGAAGTTATCCGCTTGCAGTAGCGCAATTATGATGCGTATTAAACCACATGATAGAGTCGTAAATTGTGTACATAAAAAAAATATACATTGTTCGAAAAAATTAGGAGTCGTATTGAATGAGTGTAATCTTGAATAAATCTATTTGCTTGAACTAAATAGAAGAATCTAAAATGTCTAATTAAACTGAAAAATAATTGGAAGTAAATCTAAAATATTTATGTAAATTTACTTTCCAATGATTTTAAAGATTTTAAATATTCGATATTTTTTCAAATATATTTACTAATTAATGTAAATACTCAAAGAAGCGATCTCTTGTTTCGAACAGTGCATTTCATTGGACACACATACATGCAATAATTTACAAATAAAATAAATTGCATTGATCCTTAACAAGATATTCTAAACCAATCAATAGAAATTTTCATTATTTTCATTTTTTTCACTCACCGAATGTCTCCAATTCTGGCCACGTTCCGCTACCTGAATCTGGAACAAAAAATAGAATTTTGTTAATTAAACTTGGCTCAGCAAACTAGTTCACACAAAGAGATACGAATAAATTAGTTTTTTGCGATGAAAATTCATGTCATTCTGATGTCTCGAATTCCTTCTGCGAAGAGTTAAATAGTAAAATGCGAAAAATCCTAAACATACCTTCGAGCCGATCTCGGTCTGAACCGGATCCTCCGGTATTGCATCCGTATCCTCCGGAAGAAATATCTTTGGAACAATCGTAAGCTCTACTTGCTTTGAAATGTGAGACGATTTTTCCGATTAGTATTGCAGTAGTAAAGGGGTTATATATTCAGTTGAGACAGATTAAAAACAGGAGAGAGGTGAGTTCTAATTATATTTTCTATTTAAATCTACACTGAAAAAAGGATTTTATTGTCGAAACGGAAATTTGGTTAAAATCAAATATTTGGTAACTGCAATAAAAAAATTTAATTACCACCGTGTGTTTTGCTCTTTCACTGATACATTCTACTTGACACAAGTAAAAAACATGGTAATGTGCCAACCAGATCGTGTATACCAAATACTTCAGTTATAAAAATATTTTTTTCAGCGCAAGAAAAATGATACATAGAAAAAAAGAATATTTTTATTCGGAGAATATCTTTATTGTTCACATTTTCAAAATAAAAATAAAATGATTGAAATAATTAAAATGAGATTATATTGCGTTGAGCAAAGATAGTTTTCAATCAAGACAAATGTAGTCAAATTAACATAGTCATTTTCTCATATATAACTAACAATATTGATATTCTTGTTTATATAGGAGAAAATGATTGTGTTAATTTGATTATATTCGTTTTGATTAGAAGACTAATAATATATAACCAAGAATATTAATAATGTAATATTCTATGAGAAAATAATTATATTAATTTTACTATATTCGTCTTGATTGAAGACTAATTTATCTTCGTTCAGCGTCACATAATCTCATTTTAACATTAATTTTATTTTTAAAATGTCAAAAATAAAGATATTTTCCGGACAAGAATATTCTTTTTTGTCTGTAGTTACCTTTTAGATTTCACGTTACACACCCACTACTCACGATGAGATGTCACAGCGGGATAATCGCGGCGCGAAAACCATAAATTTTCTACTCTAACATCAGCTATGATTAGCGTAAGAAAATAACGCACGACGTGCTTACTCACTCGCGTCTCGGACTATTATGATGGCTCTTTGTCTACTCAACCACCAAGTGCTCGGTTGCGCTAAAGGTCGCGCAACCGTCGGTACAAAGCACACGTAAGACTCGTGTATTTGTTGATTGTATTTCTACATAGGGTATCCCCCGAAACACTATTATATGACATTTTATTCTTGTCAGACGCGTTCTCTTCTGATAACTGTTTCGAACTAAACTGTTGTGTACACGTATAAACGCGTATGCGTATGTGTATAAATAATACTTTCCTGTTTATGTCGATAGATTTTTTAATTAATAAGCAGAATATATCATTATACATACGATGTTTCGTGTATTTTCTTTTCACATTTGCAATATTGCGCGGCCTTCCAAGAGCACTCTACGCTCGACGAGCACTTTACGCTCGACGAGTAACGCATTTTGACCCGCGATAAAATACGTGTCCTTATTTGAGAGGGAATTCGCGCTATATGCGACGCCGTAGAAACCTCCCAAAGTCGTTCGCCGGTCGCGGATGTCGCAAATTCTCGAATTCCCCGCGAATTTCATACCCGGCCTGTCGTATATAACGTCGAAACACATTTTGAAGGACCTATCACGAATCATACGCGTGAGACGTGGTGAAGATTGAACGGAGTTAAGACTTTCTCGCGCCTTTTCAGAATTAGATTGTCCCAGGATATGCCTACACCTCTGTCAAACGACTCCTCGAACTATTGGAAGAAACCCTCTCGCAGCTTATACGCGACCACCGGGAAGGGACGCGACCGTAACGTAGCACAGCCCCACGATTCTCCCTGATCCTTGCCGGAAGGCACACGCACTCCAAGTCTCCGTAGAAGAGCTCTTCCCGTAAAAGGGTCGCCTTCATTCATACTCGACAGTCATCGTGAATCCTCTTGAGACATCATTGATATTCGCGTAAAAACCTGCGCGGCGCTTCTTGCTTAAATCATGTCTTTTTGAGAACTAATCTCTAGAGATTCGTAGAACAATTCAAAGAAACGAGGAAAGTCTGATCGCGTGTATCGAATCTGCGATCTTCAACGCGAAGTGAAACGGCTGACGAGTCTACTCGCTTTTTAATAAACCTTTAACGGTCACTGGAATCATCTCTTTCCACGGAATATAACGAAGCACTCTAATCTAAACGCGTTGCTACGTCCATAATCTTTTTACCTCCTCGGAAATAAAGAATCCCCTCGTATAAAGCACGGTTTTGGGCTGCGGTGCTCGTAACTCCGCTCTTATCCTGGAGGGCCCCAGAGGATCCTGTGGGACCCGGCAGGCCGAACACGACCGCACCGAACGAGTCAGATCGAATTCAGGCGCTCAACAGAATTAGCCGATCGATCCGCGGCGCACGATACCCGCGGGATCGTCGGCGGAAAAATGCCCGCGAGCACGTCGCTTTTCGTTACGTTTACGAGCCTCGTAAAACCCGACGAACATATGTACACACATATATATATATATATATATATATATATATAAAATACGTATCTTTCTTTCACCCTCCCGCATTTTCTCAGTCCTGCGAGTGTCGCCGCGTCTCTCATTTGACCGACAAACATTCATATCCCAAATAGCTACAGCCACTCATTGATTTCGTTCACTTCCCCTACGTCAGCTATTAACATGCATATAGTATTCGTGAATAAAAAATGTCGCATCGCTGCACTTAAGTGCACCAAATTTTATGTACACATCGAGATTATATGTGTTTAATTATCTATATATTACTACTCAATACATCCTGATAATAAGGTGCGTTTTACCTGTGAATCGATTAACCAATCGATTTCTCAAGGCGCTCTGAATAAATCGATATACACGGGAAGAAAGATGTGTTACGACAAGAATCTCGGAATTCGCGTGAAGTAATATTTCGGCGTACAGTCGGCTGATTAAAGGTTGCAACACTTTTTCTCGATGAGTCTCGCATTCCGTATTCAATGGAAGAATTTGTTTTCAGCAATTCTCAGGAGATATTCCTATTGAATACGAAATATGTTGCAAAACTCACCGTAAAAAAATGCTGCTACACGGAGAAAGCAGTATGGTTGTTCCATTCATAAATCTGATTGTGTGCATCAGATTTATAATAGTAAAATACGAAATACTCTCTAATTATATAGTTGCTGCAACCATAGAACAGTTGTTGAGTTACTGGCGCTGCACCACAACCAATTTCTAGTTGTTTGGATCAACTAGATCAAAGTAACTGACAACAAAACCCACACAAGTATCCGCTTCCGATTTTTATGAACTTGTAATATGTTGTACTTTAAATCAAAATAACAGATACGTTTTTTATTATATGTGTCCTTTCGCAAGTTTAGAGAGTGAAATATCCCTTTGAATAAAATCGGTTTCTTTCATTCGAAGGGAATATAATAAAAACTATAAGAGATAGAAAAAAGTATTTTGAATAAAAGTTGAATGGTTTGTGAAGAGTATTTATATTAGTACAGAAATTATTTGAAAAAATAGAAAAAGATTTTTATTATTATAATATTAACAAAAAAAAATTTTTTTTTTAATAATTTCTGTAAAGCACTCTTCGAACCATTCAACTTTTATTCAAAATATTTTTTTCGATCTCATAGTTTTCATTATATTCCCTTCGAAAGAAAGAAACCGATTTTTTTCAAAGGGGTATTTCACCCCCTAAACTTGCGAAAGGGAATATAATAAAAAACGTATCTGTTATTTTGATTTAAAGCACAACATATTACAAGTTCATGAAAATCGAAGGCGGACACTTGTGTGGGTTTCCTTGTGAGTCATATCAATTCTACACATTACCACCACATTACCACCACATAAAGATGACTAGAGTGATGCAACTATGCTGCTCACAACTAATGCAATTCTAAGCAGAATCATAAGTCTCGTAATTTGTTCTCGTAAAATTCATCAGAACTTATGAGTAGATTTACAAGTCTATGCAATATCATATGTCGTACAATCATTTGTAAATATCGTAAATTACATGAAATCGTACATATTTACGAGTAATTGTACGACATATGATATTGCATAGACTTGTGAATCTACTCATAAGTTCTGACGAATTTTACGAGAACAAGTTACGAAACTTAGAATTGTAGCATTAGATATCTGTAGTTACGTGGACTATATCTTTTCTTTTTACGTGTGCACACTTAATCAGCCGACTCTGTTAGAAGAAACAATCAATGTCTCGATAATTTCCAGATCTTCGATGATACATTGAGTACATTTTCGATACGAGGGATCCGTCGAAGAATAAAGTTTCATGATAAGCGGGGAGAAAAAATTAGAGCTAACTCAGATTAGCTCTAGATAATGCTGGTGCACGCCTCGGTTCTCCGAGTCGAACACGAAGAAAGAAATTCAGGCCACGGCGAACGGCGTATCGATTCGCCGAGTCGTGGGAGAGGAGCTTAGGTCCTTCCAGGATGCGATATGTGGATACGCCGGCGGGAAAATTGTCTCCGACACTCGCGAGTTCGATTACCGCGACTTTATATATAACATGGGGCTCGTCTTCGCGAGATGTGTATGTGTGTATGGCGCGCACGATTCCCGTGTACCTCGTCGACCGGACCCGCGGGAATCGTATACGTTCCCGGTTACACGCGCGCGTACCTATGTACTACATGCATTTTCGAGAGCGCGAGCGATCGGCATTCCGCGCGGTCCATCGGGAGTCCTGGCGACGGGATCAAAACGCCGCTGGGAGATCCTGCCGATAAACAGCGGGGAAGTCGACTCCTACGAGCCGCGCGTACGTGAGACTATCCGCGGAGAAGCGTCGCGCTTTAGTACG